CTTTCCCTTTTTGCAGTTCGCTTGCACACTGAAAACCGGGAAATAATAACAAAAAAGTTGTGGAACAAGATTTACTGCTGTCATGTTATTAGGCCTGATATTGTGTTCTGCTAGTTCCTCACTGTAAATCTGTCCTACAGTTGTATTCCTACAATTTAGATTGTAGGATTTCCAAGCAGCAACTGACTATTTCTCTGCATCAATAGACTGCTTACAAATGTACCTTATTTTCTTTAAATACAATGATTAAAATAATAAAACAACGTCTTATCATATAACTGAGGATGCTAGAGCCCTAGGCATCTGAAACTTATCACCACAGACAGATCACAAGACAATTTTCCCATTTTTAGGTTTAAAAAAAGAGCAGCACATATTTCACATAGTCTTTGGATTAACCCTTGGTTGTATTCTTTTTGCCCCATAGAAAGAATGGGGAATAAAGAGTATGTGAACCTGTTGTTGTTATGGACACAAAATAATTGCTCAGCAGTAAGATCTTGGTTTCAAGGCGTGCATTCTGTCACTGTAGGTCATATATTATAGGATATGGCTTTTGTTTGGTGTGCAGGGAAGCAGGATTGTGTGATTTGGTACTTAAGGAAGAAAAAGAATTGGCTATTTTATGTCAAATTTAAAAGGGCAATTTGTGTCTTGCATTTAGCAGTGTAAAAAGATCTACAACTCCTTTCATTCTTGGCACAATTCAGTTATTTTGGTCCTAGATACTGAGCTTTTGCCTTCATAGTTTGTTCACAAACCAAACCCCAAGCTTTTTCAAAGTGCAATCTATACCCTCTTGATTCAGAACTGGAAAAGCCTGTAGGATTGATGGCAATAGGTGTTAAGGCTGTGACACTTCTGGTATGACTTGCCAAAAAAGAATGGCTGCAGTATCCCAGGGCTCTTACTGATGCCCTGTGGTGATGCTGGTGGGAGGCCTGACAGCCTGCTTTCTTCCAGCCTTGACTTGAAATTCTGCACTTACCCACCTCAACCCCACATATTTTTACCTAACTTTATCCAGTTTGCATCTGTGTATTTGCTTAAGTTTCCAGGTGAATTTCTACTAACGTGCTGAATGGTTAACTGGAGCAGCTGAATTGCACACGTTTCAAATTTCCTTCAATATCCCTGTTGTTATATGCATAGCAACCTCCACCATAAGGAAAGGACAGATGGCTGGGGCAGTATGTCATAAACTTACCAAGTTTTTAGTCACAGTCTTCTTTACTTACTTATATTCCCTTCACTAACAATTCTCCACGTGGAAAAACTATGCATCATTTTGTATCCTAAGTCATTGAATTGTGTTACTGACTCCAGTTTGGTAGTGGATGAAATGATACATTATACTGTTTGTGAAACAAGAAATCTTCAGGATAACAATGCTTTATTCTGAATGAGTTCATTTCTGTATTGTATTCATGTGAATGAAATGGCTCATTATACATGAATTTATTAATCCAAGTCACTTGAGAAGTGATAACTTCTTAATTTTACTGCAATCACTTGAATACAAATCAACTGAAAGCCAAGAAGTTGAGTTCCTTAGGAGCTTTTCATCAAAATAAATGCTTTGGTTGGTCTACCCCTGTGTCCTCATGACCGTAGTACACACTTCTTTGTGCGATTTATGTTGATGCTGCACTCTGAGGGAAATAATCCCAATAGAGGAGTCCAGTCAACAGGAAGAATAAAGAAATATTTATTTCCATGAAGTGTTGCAGGATGAGAACATTTTAATACATATATGCTACTTCTTGTTCTGCAAAAAGAATGAAAAAAGTCAATATATTAAATTTTCGATGCAGTTTGGGATGAAAACAAATGCCAGCATAGTGGAATTTCCCATAAATGGAAACTGAGATTTTAATTCTGATCAGTATTTAATTCTGTGTGCCCCTCCACTCTTTGGTCCCATTGGGGGAATAGTGTCTTTACTCCTCGCTTCTCCTGCTTCCCTAAATTACTAGCCCCTGTCTGTCAAATAAGACTTGTTACATTCTGCTTAATGGGCTTTAGCCTACTGCTGCATGCTAGGCCAGAATTTCTATATGTATACAATTTCATATGTCTTGTTTGCAGCTGAAGGTGTGTCATTTACCCTGCAACACTGTCTATTCAGGATTTGTAGTATCAATCTAATATTTCTTGAGGGAAAGGCGTTACTCAGTACAAATGCACTTCTTGCTCTTACACCCAGAAGTGAGAACCATCCCTTTGTCACACTCACAGAAATGACATGTCCAAGGAGTGAGCCTGTGGTCTTTGAAGAAACCAGTTTCCACCACTTCAGTCATTATGCCAGACCAAAAAAAAATCTCTTGCTGCACTTGAAAAATGTGATTGTTCTGAGAATAATCTTCCTTCTTAATACAGGAAATTCTTCTGGAATCATCAGATCTATGAAATGGGAAAGAATTTATTTTGTGTGTGCATGTGTATATGTACATATACATATTTACACATATAAAAGTTACTTCTATATGTGTATATGTATGCATATATGTACACATATAGAAGTTACTTTTTCTACAAGTGTTATGTGTTATGTCATCCTTGCTAACGCATCCAAACAAGAGATTAATATTATCTGATTCATTGAATGTAGAATTGAAGGTACTGTATCATGATGTACACCTCAGATGTCTAAAAGACATAGTGAAATGTTTTTATACCTCTGTTTCCTCACTCTTTCAGTTATACTACTTTCCTCCATTCAGTAGTGTGCTTAAAATATGTAGACTTAAAGTAAGATTGTCCCCGTGTCTGCTTGTGCTCAGAATTTTGAGATTGCTACTTCTTATACCTCGGGAGGAGAAGACTTTACCTCTTGGAGGGGAATAAAAATATATTTATGTTGGAGGGGGCAGGTTTTTCATGGTGAACATAAATTATGCTTGCACTGTGTTGGATTTATATTGTCTTTGGAAAATGAGTACTGCTTTACAATTCCTTTAAATGCCACTTCACTCGTTTATGCTTCTTTCATCAAACACTCTCCTCTTACCAGTGCTTTTGATTTAAAGAGTGAATGCAATTGCTAACTCATTCTCACTTCCGAAGCCAGTAGCACCCAGGCTTTCATAAAACTAAAGAGGAAAAGAATTATTTATTAGTTAGTGAGATGTCCAAGGAGGCACACATCTATGCATGTTATCTGTGTCTGCATATATGTATATTTATAAAGTGATAACGATATTCATATTTACATGTGCATACACAGCATTTATAGAAAGCATATTGCCCCATTGTTTTAATTATATGTTTTGCTATTGGCCAAGATAATGTCATTTATAGTTAATCATTATGAGTATACCTGGAAAGACGGGAAATCTTCAGTTCCTGGTGGCTGGAATTACTTTTTGTCATTTAACTCTCCAAATCACAATCAAAATAAAATTTGAATTCCACTGATTTTTTGGACAGCTGAAGTGTAAAGCATGAACAGTTCAGTTTTTTCCAGGACACCCTCACAATAGCAATCAAAACCTGTAATGAGATGTGCTACAGGAAACTGTGTAACACACTGGTGGGCATATGTACTGCATTCCTCCGGACATAGCATTATGCAGTCCTATCCTGTATTTTAGTATATTAAGACAGTACTTTCAAGTTCAAAACTTAAACTGTTGTGTAGAACTTTATTGGTATGCAGTCTTGGCATTTAAATGTTAGCCAGGAATATCAGAATCTGAATGACAGATGTGGAGTTGCAAATATTTACAACATTCATTGTTCAGTGAAACAGTGACAACATTGTAACGTTCTCATCAGCTGTATTCAAATGTTCTTAAAAGATTTGACAACTTTTGAGTGGTCAGGTAGACATCATAAGCATCCCATTTTCGGTTTAAAAATAAAGTTATTTCTTTAAGCTGCATAAATGCTTTTGAGCTTACGCTTCTGTCAGTCTGAAAAATTCAAAGGCATAACATCTTCAGCTAACGCAATCTACTGGGAATGGAAAATAAATCTTTAAGCAGAGCGGTTTTTAGTTACGGTAGCAGGTAGCCACTATCTAATTGATATAAATGGTTTTTGTTTTATATTGTTTTTACTGTCACCTTAATTTCCTGCCTGGGGAACTGCTGGTTGAAGCAAACCACTTGGGGCATGTCTATTGCTCATACGGTCTCAGTGATGGATATGGATGTAATGAGGTTTTTCCATTTCATAGTAGTTGTAGTCACTCTCCTGACTGTGGGCTCACTGAGCACATTCAGAACCCTTATGAAAAACAGCTCTAGCGACTGAAGAGCAGTAAGCTTATGGGTTTATTTGCCAGACCTCCCTGGATGTATAAACCAGTTGCTGCAGCTCTAAAAATGATATGGCTGGTGCAGTGGTGATTTTCTGCACTGAAGGTGTATGCCAGCAGGAGTTATGTACTGCAGATATTTTAGTGAACTCTGAAGAAGACCACATTCTAATAGACCGCCCTCAATCATTTCTGCAAGCATCTGATTTTCTCTGCATCATTATTTTCTGTAGAATTAGATCTGTGGGAAACCAGTTTATATGACTGTGCTTTACTGTGTAGCAAGGAATTGTTTTTCCTTGTATTATTTAATGCGTCTTAGCTCCAGAAAATACTTCGGTTTCCTGCATTTATTTGTTATATGCAGCGGGGAAGAACGCAAGGGGCACCGAAAACATATGTGCCCCATGCCTGCTAAAGTTAAGGCTGAACTGAAAATCTATTGTGCCAATTAGTGATTACTTAGAGTCTTGCTGAGCTAGGTCTTTTTTTTTTTTTTTTGATAGTTACTCTTCTCTGTAATTTATAACACTGTCAAGGAGAGAAACACATGTGTTTTTGCTTATTGGTGACTAACAATTCGGTGATGGGAAATCCCGTATGGTTCCTCCTTTCGGAATGATATATTGCAGTATTAATAGTTTTTCTTTTAAACTAGTAAGTGTTATTATGCCATTTTAATACAGATACATCTTGAAAAGGGCTTGCTTTAAAAGGTTATTTTGTTCTTGGTCAGTGTTTGTCAGGTTCAACTCCAGCCATGGTTTCCCCGTGGAGGTTGATTCGGACACCAGCATCCTGCAGCTGAAGGAGGTGGTTGCCAAGCGACAGGGAGTTCCAGCTGACCAGCTGCGTGTGATTTTTGCAGGGAAGGAGCTCAGGAATGACTTGACACTGCAGGTAAGTCTCCCTTGGTAGTTTCATTTCTGGACTGCTGCCAGCTCAACTGCTTCTGCCTCTAATGCTGCCAATCTGACATTCATGCCTGAGATCTAATAGAATAAATAGTGCCTGGGGATTCCTTGAACTTTACTCCACACTGCTTCATTAATTCTGACCTTCTTAATTATGCATTAAAACAGCAAGCAGGAAGGATAGGGGAAGGGAGAGAATATGAGCGAGAGAGCACGAGAGAGAGCTGTGCTTAGTGAATAAATGTTTACTGACTACAGAACCAAGCTATGCACAATTTCTGTATCTGTTCAATTTCTATCTTACTTATTCCATTTGAATCTTAATGAAGAAGGATGTGAATAAATTGCTCCAAATCAGGCTGCACAGTCATCACATTTTACAGAATTTGTAACCCAATTGTGACCCCTGGAGGATAGTTACAGGGCTGCTGCTGTTTTGTGTGCTGCTATGTGCGCATGTGCAAGAATGCAGTGATGGGGGAACAGTACCAGTTCAGATCGACCAGTGGAGATCCTCTCAGAGTCACTGGACTCGTAACATCCGAAGATGAGACAGTGGAGGGAAGATGGCATGGAAGAGTGGGTATGAGCTGGTATCTGAACTTCAGCTCCTGAAGGTTAAGTAACAGTTCTGTTAAAACAAAATGCAGAAGGGTGCTCATTTATGGTGAGCAGGAGTAAGCATAGAAAGGCAGGTTCAAGTATCTCCTCCTTGTTGCTGTCTTTATTACTGTTATCAGTGCTGCCACAGTTGCTTTTATCAATATGTTTTTCTTTTAATCTGTCAGTAGTGTATGTGGATTTGGGAGTACACTAAGATAGACAGGGCATAGCATAAGATCACAGATTTGAGACATTTGGGGAACTTGGAGAAACACGTCTACTGGCTTCTCAACAGAGATCAAATACTGACTTACTGAAATTGCTATCCTTTTGCACTGGTAGCAAAGAAGTGCAGATGCGATTTAGTAGTGGTTCAGGTGATTATATAAAAGGTCCCTGACAGGCTGAACCACTTCAGATTAATTGGCAGTCATGTTTGAGAAGTATGGCTGTTTTTAGTATAGCTGCTAAGTCTGGGTGCAGAAAGTCACTACTGTGTTGACATCCTATCACTATTTCTCCTTGGATATGATATTTATTGCTTTGCAAAATGCTTTAGGGAATGTGAGCACAAAAAAGAAACTATAGAAATGCAAATTGTTGTCATTCTCCAATGTATCACCTGTGGAATAGTGTTGATGCACATACTCACTGGGCATGAACTGCAATGTTTTACTTGTATATGATTGTTTTTAGAAGTAAAATATATGAATAAAAATAATAATGATGTGAGTTGTAATGATGTGCAGTTGTTAGCTGCCAGGTCCTAGACTTGGGTGTCTGTGTTGCCCTGTCAGAAGCTTCTGAACTGCCTAGCATTTCCTGGGAATCTGTAGTTGGTAATGTTACTGCCGTTTTATTTCAGGATGAAACACAGACTTTTTGTTTGAGCCCAAAGTTATATTTGTAACTAAGTTTCTTTCTGGATAAAACATGCAATCAATTGCTATGGCAAAAATTGCTTTTCAAATATGCAGGCCTCCTGCTTCATTTAGAGGGAATTCCTCCAGTTCAGTTTATTTTCAAAGGACTTTTACATTATTTAAATAAGCTCAGTCATATTATGTGTGTTTGTGAAATGACATGATACAGAGGAAGTACCTCAGGATGTAGAAAGAATTCCAGAGTCAAGTGACTGTCTGTGTGTACATACATGCTGGCGACATGCAAATGACAATATCACAAATTAGGATTTTGGGCTGTTTTTTAGCCCTAATGGCACCAGCAGGACTGCAACTCACTTAGGCCTACCCTTATACACATACATATACCATGCACATACAATGTGTATGTGCATGATATAGAAGGTGCCTTTCATCCCAGTTCTGATACAGGCCTGAGACATAGTCTATTTACTAACTGAACACACCTAATAGTTTGTTTTTGTTTTTATTTTTTAAGATAAATTTGCTGTTCTGTCCTTCCTTTGTTCTTTTATTTCTTTTGACTCATCTGATTTTTTTTCAAGAAATCTTTGCTTTTAAGTGCTGGGCAGTGCTTTGCCCGCACTCGGTTTTCTCATGCTGACGACAATTGAGACGGGTATCTTTTGAACTCTGCCTGAAGACCTAGGAGGGAACTGTTCTCTAAGATGTCTTCCTCAATGAAGTCTAGTGATTTCAAGTTTGACTTCATGCATGATGTCAACATGCATCTCTCTGAGGGCTGTATGTGCTGACCATTACTGGCAAGAGAAGAAAAGCAGAGCATGTTCCAACAGGTGCTTCATTTACAGAGGCTGAGCAGAAGCATGAAAAGAATAACAGGAGAAGCCATGGCTTCTTCTGTTCTGATGGAGACCCATTATCTCTATATTCAAACCACACTCTGTGACATCTCTGCTCCTGGAAGACTTGCCATCCTAATTCCTGAAGATTCAGTCTCAGGTACTTGTTACTGCTTAGCAAAGCCTCTTGAAGAAGGAGTCCTTTAACTAACTCTCCTATGGTTAGAAACATCTTAATCTGTGTAGACATTCAGAAAGGAGCAGTCTATGAACCAACTTCTTTGCATTCCACTCTCAGCTGGCTGGATATGAAAGCTCAGAGAAATGAAGGGTTAAAAAGAAAAAAGCAAAAAGTGGGGAGAGGAAGAGATTTCATTTTAAGTCTGTCTTGATCCTGACCTTACAGTTGATGGATCTGGAGGCCTACCTTTGCCATTTTACCTTTGAGCTTTGCTTTGCTAGGGGCTTTGTAAAGAGTTTAACAGTGAATTTTCTGGCATCTGTTGAATTAGATATTTCCTGTGGTTCGTCTTCTTATCATTTAATCCTGCTTCTGTTCAACTTGTCTCTGAGGAGGGCAGCTACTTCACTATTTGAAGATACTTCTGCACTGATACAACCAAGGCGGCTCTCCTTGAGATGCTTTATATGTCAAAGATGCAAGGACAAAAGATGGTCCCATTAACCAGACATGTCTGTTAGTGGTCTAAGAATGAAATTCTGTGCCTTATGCTTCTAGTCCAAATAGTAGGCAACTGAACATCTGAGGTCAGTTTAGTTTCCATAATAGCTGGCTCAAGAAATTACCCCTCCATCACTATTCCAATTGATCCATAAGTCAGTGGATATTCTCCTAGTGCTATGGAAAGAAAAGGTTCACAAGTAAAAGATCTCAAAGCAGCTGAATGTGTTTCCCACGATCATTCCCACCAAAGTATCAAGTTTGTTTAGATTCAGCCACCTTCCTCACATCTGAGTGTTTCTTTGGATTTGAACATTCCTCTTCTATATCTCCTAAAGAAAATGATGATTTATAATCCTTGATTGTTTTGAGGATTGTACTACTACATTGAGATCCCTGGAATCTTCCAGTTTTCCAAGGAGAACAACAGACCATCCTTCACTCCCAATTCCTGGACTGTCTGCTGCAGCTCCCTGTCCCTTACCTCTCAAGTGACTTAGGGGCCACCAGAACATTTCAGGCAGCACATAGCTTCTTTTTCTGTTGCTAATTATTTCTACAGCTGGTCAAACTTATCTTAATGTACATCAAGAAACAAAGACTCTATCCTTCTGTCTCTTCTTTCTCTCTCTGTCCTTATTTTGGGGACAGGCTATATCACTTCCACTTAAAGCCAAATTACATTGATGTCTCTGCTAAAGTATTATCACCGGTTAAAGCATTCCAGTTCAAGCTAAGTCACCTCCCCTCCTCTCCTTGTCATATGTTAGGAATGGTTTTCATTGTACTTTGACTTGTACAGTAGTGTTATTCCTAAACCCATTAAATTAGATCTCTCTTTAAGAGTGGCTTTAAAGCAACTATCTACTACTACTGAAGAGAAGCAAAAGCTGGAGAGGCATCATGGACTTCAGAAATTTAACTTGTTCAGACTCTCACGTAAGAAAAGATGGTTGAACATCTCTTTAGCAAGAAATGATCACTTTTGGAGCTGTGCACTTTTGTTAAACTAACGATCTGTTAAACTAACATCTTAACGATGTTTCTGGGAGCGCTGGACGTGCTATCATATGCTTTGAGTTACTTCAGACCATCATGAGTGTATCATGAGTGGGAGATAAAAGGCAATCAGTTCTTGTCTGTATTTGAAGATGGAAGGAGGTATCTCCAGATCAAACTATTTGTTTCAGATGCCAAGTAACAGAGCTACACTCCTGTTCTAGAAAGAGACAAGACTTGGCCGAAGCAGTTTTGGCTTCAACATCCGTTCTGTCTCTCTGTACAAGGATAGAACCTCCTTCCGTAACTCCGTTGTCTTCTCCATATACCTCAATTCTATGACCAAAAAAGACTTTGATTCATACATGTAGGTTGTCTAACTTGTTTAATTCATTTCACTGGACTATCAGAATTACCCTGTGTAGTCAAGTCAGTCAACCACGTTTTTATTTGTTAGTACACTGGACCTAGACTCATTGCCTTGACTCTTTGCCTTCTAAAGCAGATAGAAATTTCAAAAGCGGTTTCAGAGGGTATGATCCATACTTCTGTATTAAAGTACCTTAAATATTACAATGATTAATATCATCAACAAAGTATCAACTACCTTTTTATTCTTGATATTTAATTAAATGTAATTTACTCTGCTTCTATGTTTGCAGTTTTTTCTGTCATATATTAATGTACATATCTTTATTGTAGAAATTGGGAAATTTGTCAGCACATAAAGAATAGTTGAGAGTCTGGGGTGTTTGACTTCCTATGAAAGGCAGTTCAAGACTTTTTCCTTAAGCATCTAAACGCTGGTAAAACTTGTGTGCTAGTGAAATACTAACTGCTGGCATTTATATTGCATCTATAATTTCAGAGTTAAGCTCACATACAAGCAAATTAACTAGCTCTTGTTTTCTTGGCCTACTCATATTCATGGAGATGAAAAAATACAGCATAGATTTGTACTCAGCTGAGGCTTCTA